GTGTGTGTGTGTGTGTGTGTGTGTGTATGTGTGCTCATATTTGGATACACCTGTTGTGCATGTACATAGAAGCTAAAGGTTAAGGTTGGGTACCTTTCCCAATCATCCACCACCTTACCATTTGAGACTGGGTCTTTCACTAAACCTAGAGCGTATGGATGTAGTCCAACTTGCTGGCCAATGAGCTACAGGAATCGACCCTTTCCCAGCCCTGTTATTGGAGTTACAGTGTACGTAACCTCTCTTATCCGCTACTAGGGTCTAAAACTGAGATCTTCATGCTTACACAGCAAGAACTTTACAGACTGAATCATCTCTTAGCCTGAGAGGTGATTTTTTAAAAAAAAAAAATGAAACCAAATAAAAGCTTTTAAGTCAACACTAAATAAGGATAACAAAAAACAAAGTGCGTGTGATCCATGTCATAATAATTCTCGCTAGAATATAAACTCATTTTCCGACTTGCTAGTTCTGCCATCCTATTTATCAATTATCATGCTGTTATCGGTGCCGGTAGATCATCTTGAGTCTATCCAGACCGTGGACCAGTGTAATGAGGTACCAATACTGCAGGCCGCTAGGATCCCTCCTGCAGAGGAACCATATTTTCTCTGACTTCTGCACCAATGCCTAGTGTGCAGACTGCTTTCCTACAGCATGGATCTACAAAGATACCCCTTTAATTATTAGATTTAATGAAATATAGCCTGTTCTAGCTTCGCATTTCCCTTTGACCTTTGGGGAAAAAATTCTATTGTCTTTCAAAGTACTACACATATGTAGTTTACACCTTAGCGGTCACTAGTTCACTCTTCTTGAGTTCTGACCATTGCCACTAAAACTTTTAAAAATACTTAAATGTTGTAATGGCTGGAAAATGTTTCTTACAGACAAAAAGATTTATCATAAAAAATAAACGCTAAGATCAATGATGTGACCTCTCAGGAAGGTAACTGAGTTTCATTGTGTGCAATGACAAGCATGCCGTTTCTCCTCTAAAGAAGCTGCCATTTCTTTGGAATAAATGTAGGACCAAACAGATGCCGTATTAGAGGAGTCCCATGCCATCAAATGAGTAGGAAATGGGACTGGACACAGAAGCATGTGCAGGGTCTCCTGTCTCACATGGTGTACATGGGTTTAATTGTATACTTCTAGGTAGTCCTGATACTTCCCGCTGAAGACAATGGTGATCAATTTTTCCAAAAAGAATTTTCTTAAAAGTCATTTAGATAAAAAATTGGGGGCTTCCTAGTATTTCATTTACATTAACTTCAAACATGTGTATAATGTTCTTTAAATTTTGATGACCTCACTTAGATAAAGGCAGCATAGTTAAGAATTATCGAAGCTGGGCATGGTATCACACAGGTAATCCCAGCTGTCAGAACCCTGAGACAGAAGAAAGACCACTTCTTTCTGGCTAGCTGGAGGCTCATACTAAAGGCTCTCTTAAAGAAATAAAATTATCAATGAATATCAGTAAACTAGCTTCTCCCACCAATGTGGGAGAGATGTTAATACATTTCTGTTTAAACTGCAGGTTTTTCTGACTGTTTTTCTCTCTCCTAAACCCAGGCTGTCAGGATTCCAGCTGCCCTCCTCCATTGTGAGCACCGGGTCTCTCCTCACGCTCTGGTTTACCACGGACTTCGCAGTGAGCGCACAGGGTTTCAAGGCCATGTACGAAGGTAGGAGATTGAGGCGGTTGGCATCTTATAACCTCAGGTGCTGCTGGGGGATCAGGGTGTGGATGCAGAGTGGATGCATGGTGGAAGGACTGGGCTGTTCTTTAATATATTGACAAAAGGATATGCTACTGTCTTCTGTAACTGTCAAAGAACCCGGCCCAAAAACACGCTTGAGTTTTCCTTTAGTGGTCTGAATATATGAATCAGATTGTTTCGTTGACTGCAATGGTAACATCTGAGGGGTTCACATATAGAATGGTATGTTTTCAAGTATTTGTTTTTAACCCAAAATAGTTCTATTAAAACTTTCACTTGGCCACGCAGCTGCTAAGCAGGGCTTAAGTGATGTGGTCTCATGAAATGAAGGATTTTTGTCAAAACCGAAAATTTTAATTGAGAAGTTCATTTGGCCTCGCTCTCCTTTGGTTCTCACAAAGCAGTGGAGTTTCAGATTTGTGCTCGGAAATGTTGTGATGTTGTTATTATTGTTAAGGTGACTTGGTGTAATCGTAAAAGAATGAGAGTGGACTTTGAGAGAGGAACTGATTTTCTCTGAGTCAGATAGAGGTAATTGAACTGGCTACTTGCAAGTACGAAGTCTAAGAGGTTTGATATAGTTTGGCACAGAGATTTTTCTCTTTCTTTCATGTGTAACACGAGGGTTATCATTTGTAGCATGAGTAAACTCTGGTGCCTAGGAGTCAAAAAAAGTACACTGTGGTTGGAGCCATTGATCACTGTCTCTCTATAATACACATGGTTTGTTTTAAAGGAGTCTCTGGTTTGCTTTGATACTGCGTATCTGTGGCAAGCATGTTCTTTGTGCAAAGTTCAAGCCTATACTTGGTTTGTGCAATTTACCTTCATTGCTATGCAGTTGTCAGGTGATGGGTTGTGATGGAATTGCTCCCTGGAGAGTTGTGCAAAGCGTGATCAATCCTTTCATTTTTATTGATCCATGCAATGATGCTGAAGATACTAGCCTGCTCTGGCTGAAGGCTTTTCTGACTTCATCTCTCTTCTACATCTAGGCTGTCGGGAATCCAGCTGCCTTGCTCCACTGTGAGGACCGGGTCACTTGTTTATGAGCTCACGGTTCTTTCATTTAAACCAGCGTCAGTTACTAGAAGGGTAGGACACTGTTGAGTGTGTGACTGTCAAGAAGTAATACAGTTTTGGACAGTTGCAGGATGATTTATGTTTGGTCAATGGTTTGATTAACTTTAAAATTTAGTTACACCTGCCCTCTTCCTTTGAGCCCGGAATCACATGTCTTTTGCTTATCATAGAAGAAAAAGAATCACCACAGCAGTGAGTGTTTGCTGCCCCTGAGGCATGCTCATTCCTACATTTCTAGATGATTTCTGTTCAGAGAGCACAACATGGTTCCAAAGTCCAGGAACCCTGGAAATTCTTCTTTCTGCCCTGATAAAGTCCATCTGTGTGCTCTGTGTTTTATTCAGCTACTGATAACTGATATAGAAATCCTTAAAGTTGAGTGGTTGGCAGCTGCCTCCGTTCGCCAAACCTTCCCGATCTGCTATGGGACTGGCATGTTGGATGATGCTACAATTTCTAAAACATCGATGAATTGTCTCTATTGGAAATGATTTCATGTTTGTGTAAGGCTCATACAGAAATATAACTCGAAGAGTTTTATTTCAACTTAGCTGTATGCTCTGTTAAATATGCTTTCCTAAAAGCATTTGTGAAGGTGTTTTTGTAAGTTAGACTTTCAATGGTTAATCATTTATCAGAAATCGCCAATAATCATAAGACTATTTCTGAAGGAAATTTTTGGTGAAAATACACATCTCTTGTCAATATAACCAATTTTAAGCAATATTCAATACAACCATATAACAATTACTTCTTGCTGTTGTACACCAAACGCTATGGTAAAAACGCAAGTGTGTTAGCTTTCTAGAGAAAATGAAGAGCCCAGGTGGGGGAAGTTACCTGGAGGAGAGCCAAGTTCTCATTGACAGCTCCCCTACCACATTGATAGCTCAAGTTCCCAGGGATGGGAGGCAACTCTCACCCATCGAGGAAAGGTTTGAGGAGTGCACAGGACAGAAAAAAGATACCTGCAGGAGAGGAAGCAGGGCCAATGTTGTGGTCAGGAGGACATCTGTAACAGCTTTCACTGTGGTCTGTATATTTTTTAAAAAATAATTTAGATTTTCTTCTACTCAGATAATTTCTGTTTTGAGGAGACAAGACATGTGGTTATTCTATGAAGGAAACAATCTAATTAATGTTAACATAAAAAGTAAAAATATAATGTTAATACATTGTCCAGACCCTTTACTGGAAATTGAATTTAGAAAAAAGTACTAAGTCAATCATTGAAGTTTCCCCTGTGGTCCTTAAAGTAGCACTGCTTTCCTAAACTAGAAGTTCTATAGGATTAACATACTGCTGCTTAAAATTTTCATTCACGTTCACTGGCTTGGACAGGCAAAATTGTCCAAACTTCAGCCATATTTCAAAATATGATAACCTTGGCAATGGTCTTCATGTGGGCAGGGAACTCGTGATTGTTGCCAGTAGTTTTCAATAAGCATTGTTTGTGCAAATTATTGTTCATACGTGGGCATATTAAGCTACATAATGAATGTGGAAACAATAAGTTAAAGTATTACAATTAATGCATTATCTCATTGAATTTAACTTTGTAATCCCAATTAAAATATTTGTAAATATCTTCCAAATGCTGTCTACATGGAGTATTTGAATTTCTTCAAAGGCATGCTTTAGGGTTTTCTTAGCAGATGAGTTTATAAACTGTTGTATTAGAAATTTGGGGATTTTAACTGGTAAATACAGAATAAATTGAGCTAATAACTGAAAATACTCATCTTATCATGTATCATTTGCTCCCTCCACGACCAAACAATTTATATAACTTTATTTAATAAATCCTAATGAGATACATGATCACATGTGACTTACCCTGAGTTCTAAAGACTTCTATCATATTTGCTTCTGTCTTTAAATGATTCCGTGGATTAAAGCAGATATTTTCTACCAGCTATAGTGTATGTTTTTGGAGATAAAAAGCATACAGGTTGTATTTGTTTATAAGTATCTATACATATATTATATGTGATATATATCATATAGATAATGATTAGATGGTAGATAGGGACAGGTGGATTTGTATATAGACATATGGATAGATGAATATGTAGATAATGGATAGATAGACAAATAGGTAAATGGATAAATAAAAATGAAGGCTAAAAATAGAAAGATGATTGGTAGGAAGGTTGGTAATAGATAGTTGAGAGAAGGAAGCATCATAGATAGAAGAAGAATTTGTATACAGATGATAGCTATATCTAGTTCATAGGTAGATTATTATTTTACAAATATGTATTAAAACAGTTTATAGGTAGATGATTGATAAATATATACATGATAGACATATATATATATATACACACACATATATATATATGGTCAGTAGATAAGTAGATGATCACTGCAAGACAGATATATTCCAGACAACAGACAGATAAATATATGGCAAGTAGATAACAGACGGAGGGATATG